ATTTACCAATCTAATTTATACCTGAGGACGGTTAAATATAACCGAAACATGTCGTAAGAGACGTTCCAATTTGTAAATCGATCATTCGATGTGGAACGTGAAATGATATTTTAAATATTTTATATTTTATTAACTTATTAAAATTGTGATTTGACGGAAAATATTAAAATATAAGTTAATTTGTTTAATAAAGCGAAACTATGTCATGAAACGTGGACATTTCTATATAACGTTTAACAGCTTAATAATGAGTAATGTGTTGTTTATTGTACACGTTAACTAATTTTAGGCTTGTTTAAGATCGTAAATTTTAAGCTAAGCTGACTAATAGTAAATAGAAACATAAAAATTATACAAAATTTTACAGATAATATCTAGAAATACAGACCTTAAATTAAAAGTAAACTTAATTCGTTTCACTAATATTATATTAATTTAATGTTGATGCAGAAATTTCATTACTTACTTCCATATTCTCCTGGCGGCAAGACCCACAGACACTCTTGTGCCCACCAACTTTATGACTTCTACTTACTCGTAGATTACGACGGCTTCCTCTTCACACCGCGTTCCTTAACCTTGAGAACACTACCGACACCTCGAGGCTAGCATGGGGATCACATATTTAACTGTGCTGGCCCTTCCAGGTTACTTTGGGTATTTATAGTAAACGTTCGATTTTAGAAGTTATTGTGCTGGTTTATCGTGACCAAAAGATTTAATGAGTTTTATTATCGAGTGAGTTGAAGAATAGTTAAGTCAATGATGATATAATTTAGTGATACAAAATAATTTATGATTTTGAATGTTAATGATATTACAGGTCACTTGGTCAGGCAGATTACACATTTGTAGTGGAAAGTTATAGGAATGATGGATGTCACAAATGTCACAACATATTTAATATTATCAAACCAAATAAAGTAATATCATCGTTTCTTCTTAATTTAACTGAATTAAGTTCTAACAATGTAATCGAAGTTTAATTAAGAAAGTCATGAAATATTCTGTAGTTCCTACAAAATATTCGTCATCGTATGCTATGTCTACCGTTCTCTGGTACGAGTTACTGATGTGATTTCTGTGTTGTGTTCTCTTGCTCTAGGGCAAGCTGCTTCTTAAAAAAAAGAATACCTTGTTCTACAGGACACAATGAAACCTCAGAGAGTGTTCAGATATTGTGTACTGAAATTACGATAAGCTGAAACACGTAGCCTATAATAGAATACTGAAATCACGTTTGAGGTGCGAATTGTGGATTAGTGAATATTAAAAATTAAGGAATCGTAAGGTGCTACAATTTTGATATTTTTTTGTCTTCAGGTTTTAAAAGAGAACTATTTTTAGAACAAGGTAATTTGAATGTAGCATCAAACTTATAAGAAAGGAAAAGAGTATTCGAGAAAAGCATTTTAATATGTAAAACAATTCAATCGAAATTGGTACATTCCCGGTCAGAGTGAGGTACAATTTTTCCTTGAAGAGCGAACACACGATTTATAATGCCAAATTTTCCATATTTGTCATCAAATCCGCTTCATGATATATTTCTCGTTACATTAATTTAGTAAACAAATCCACAAATATTTCCATTTGCTTAGAAGCACGTAAGACCTTTCTTGATGAGCAACACTTTCTCCTAACCCAGGGTTTTGTTCGAAGTAAGTTGGAAAAAGGCGTCTTTCCTGACGAAACGAATGTTTCAAGTAGTCTGCTTCAACTGTATGGAACTGAGCAGGACAGAAATGCAAAGGCCAGCGAAGGACCTCACTGTTCAAAGCAAACGCAGGAAGCAACTGTTAGAGGGATTATCCTTACTCCAGGAGAAAAGAAAAACCTTGATTTCGAAGCACTTGGCTTCGGATGAAAACATGTCAGAGCCGATGAGACGAATTAAATCGATTTCAGTGATTTTCTTCATAATGTCACATGGATATTTGAATGAATTTGTTTCGACCAGCGAATACGTCGCCCGCCTAACTTGGTCAGAACTTTGGCCCGAACCAATATTTTCCAAATGTAGAAGCAGATTTTAAAGCAAAAATTTCTTTATGATGATTAAAGGCTTTCGAATATCCAGTTATATCAAGTGAGTACTTAATCTAGCAAAATCAAACTTCGCATCTGTCATTTTGTTTTGCAGTGTGATGAATGTCACAGAAAATAATTGGAACTCTCCCCTCACTAATAGTTATCGATTTATTACTGTATTTATGAGCTTTCCCATGGAGTGATTAATTAGTTCACTTATAATATTCTTTGTTCACGTTTTGCTTCTTCGACATTTGAAAAAACTACTTCAACGAAATTGAAAATAGTAGATTACACATATTTATTTTGGCCGTCTATACACAAACTTATTAAAATGAGTTGTTAAAATATTATAACATTCACAATATAAATATAAAATATATAAAATACGTTATGTTATGTTTTGGTGCTCTTTTTATCGTATTACGATATTACATTCCATTTTGGCACCTTTATATTTGAAACGACATGTTTCGATGTACCTATCGTTCTTTTTGTTTTGTTTGATTAGGTGTTCAATTTTGTCAGCTATTATGTGTCGTATATGATCTTGTTTTTGTATAGGAATTAGATTTATTGCAGTTTCTGCTTCCAGTGCTAGGTTTGTGATCCATGTTTTATGTTTTTGATGTAAATTGTATTTTAAGCCTATATATATAGTATATAGTACTTATTCATTCCCTATGTTAATTCCATACTAATAATGTGTATAAGAAATAAATCTATATGAGTTATATAATAATAACTGGAAATTAATTCTACAGACAATAAACAACGAAATATAAACACCAAATCAATCATGAAGATGGATGGATTCACAAATGCATAAAATCAATAAATGCAACGCAACTTAGTATATAATAGTTTGTAAAATTAATAGAATTGATAACCTGAAGATGATGTCTTGGTACATCGAAACATGTCGTTTCAAATATGAAGGTGCCAAAATGGAATGTAATATCGTAATACGATAAAAAGAGCACCAAAACATAACATAACGTATTTTATATATTTTATATTTATATTGTGAATGTTATAATATTTTAACAACTCATTTTAATAAGTTTGTGTATAGACGGCCAAAATAAATATGTGTATTCGAATCAACACAGACATGACGCAATTGAGATACAAATTGAAAATAGTAGGTTTTGTCTTGAGAGCTTTTGCAGCTATGTTTATTCCATATTTATCGACCTAAAACAATCATTTCAGGTATTTAAAGTAAGATTTCCTCAATAAAGAATGTATTATTTTGTAAGAACTGGGTCATTTTGTCAAAAGTAATTTCTGTAAAAGACATGTTGATGTCACACTGTTTCAAAATATTCTGAAGGTCACTCAACAAAAATTTAATTAAGAAAATGCGGTTACAAATTCTTGACGTTAATTGTTCTTTCTGATCAAAATTGTACTTCGTTCCTGATCGAAATATTAACTGAAGCATTGTTTTAATTGAGATCATGCCTTATGGAAGTCCCGCGCCGTAGCCGCGCGGTCTGAGGCATCATGCTTAGGACCGGTGATACGTAATGCGTCCTGGTTCGAGTTTCGGGGAAAGAAATTTGTCATGAGATTTTCGACCGGTGTATGGGACCGGTGCCAACGCAGCGTCGTGAGGAAATTTGGGACCTACAATAAGTAGCGTAATCCGGTCAGGAAAGCTAGCAATGGCTGGGGGTTCGTCGTGCTGACCACACGTCAATCTATATCTGGTTGGATGATCGTTCACCTCTGCTTAGGTGAGGCCAGCAGTCAAGCTAGTCGGCTTTGACTCTCAGAGGGCTGTCACGCCACGGATTATTATGCCTTATGGAAGAGAATCAGCGGTCCAGTATTCATCCGCTCAGGTTTCATGACTTCAATTGACCACTTTCAAATGAAGTTGAAAAATAAAAATTTACTTCCCAAGATTTTCCAGTCGATGCTATTGGTCACCTTCTAATAAGGCATTGTCATTTGTTATAAGATCACTTACCTTGACGAGTTAAGTCTTCACCACAGAAAACTGGTAGTAATATCAAGAGCAATCTGTGACACTGTTGCAAAGTTGAAATATCACTGAATGATCACGGCTGAAGCCCACAGAACTTTCAATCTTCTTTTAGACATGTAAAGAGATTAATGTACCTTCAGCCACTTCCCTAATCGTACCTACTTCAAATATGCATCGCCCGCTTCATTCTGCGTCATTTACAGTCCATCATTAATTAATCATACTGTAATTCTGCACTATTCCACTTTGAGCACTTGAAATTCTCATAAAATAAAAGGCGAAGCGTAAAGCTGGAATAGTCCTCGGTATTTACATGGAATGAGAGTTTGGGGGCGGGAGGGGGGGGGAGAGTGAATATATAACTTCGAAAATGCTTTACCTCGTAAGTAGATGCCCCGACCAATTTAACATCGAGGAAAGAAGCCCTAAATCCATATGATAAGAGACTGGAAGTGCCCAAGAGCGTGTCTGGACGCTGTATAGAAGAGACACGAACATGTTGTCCTGCCGGAAATCGAAACCCGGCCGTCCAGTTCGGATGATATACTGACAGAAATATCGCGGCTATAAAGTATCAGTCGTAAAGCCCGGTGCCCAGCTTCAGGGGTATTCTGTCTTCAAATATTAAAGGAAAGTCGCCCTGATGATGGAGGCAGCAGGGACCTCTGAAACTTTGGTGGACATCTACCATACTACACGGCGCAATAACCCAGAAGACAGAAATCTTAAGAATTGAAAACCTAATGCAAGTTTAATTATTACTTCCGTATCAGACCTTTAATCTGATGCAAATTTTCGTCATCCTCCTCCAATCGTGGCTGAACTGTAAGCACCAAAATAAGAGTTGGTTATTTGTCTTAGGAGCGGTTCCGATGTAACCGAGTAATGTAATGAGAATCGGGCTTCGTGGACAAGGAGAATAAATCGTACCCTGATATTCTTTTCGGCTTTGCTGCGTTCAGCTTTAGATGGGCCTTATTCTCACGAGAAACACAAATTCGTTTCGATGAGATATGTTTAAAACTCGTGTTGTGTTATTGGCACTTATAATCAATATATTAAGGCTGAATGCTATGAAAAGGGTAAATGAAGAAATAATAAATGCGTACACACTTTTTCGGAAAATCTGAAGGGAAAATTTCACTTCGTGGACATAGGTTAAATCTATGGATAATATTAAAATGGATCTTAGAAAAGTTAGACGGAAGGATATGGTCTGGATTCTACTGGATCAGGATTTGGGACCTTTGGGTTTCATAAAGGGTGGAGACTGGATTAGCTTATTAGCTTCTTAGGAAAGCGTTTACCGCGCTAAGCTGTCCACCGATACTTAATCTGAGTAGCACAAAGGGAATTTACGCGGAAGTATGAATCCCTAAATTGACTACATACTCAGTGTATATTCCAAGTTGAGAATCCGTGGAATTTATTACATGTCCCATCAATTTCATTCTTTTACGTAACATCAAACAAATTATACTTTGTGAAGACAGAAATCATTATAAAATATCTGCTCTATTGTATTTTCTTGGATATAAAGACGAAGTTTCTCACCCGTATAAGACGATAGGTGTTATTATAATTAATTTGGCATAATTTACTTTGTAGATGTCCAAGCTGGAACGTGAGTCCTTTTGAACTGGAAGATGGCAAGATTGTTCCGAACTTTATCTGCTCTGATGTCTTTAGGGCTACGAATGCTAATGTATAAGTATCTTAGGTACACTTCATACGTTGACATCATTAAATATATTATAATTTTCATGATGCGCTTAGCTTCAGCAATTTGAAAACCACCAGTACATGAAATAAAATGTTGACAGTACATTAAAATTTTAAAGCATTTTTAGAAATGAATAATAAGTTCCATCAGAATTCGGTACATTTAAGCAGCAAAATGTTAGAATACTTTCACTGCAGATGTTTGAAATTTCAATAACTGTTGATAATATCGACTTTTCCGACATCTGCAGATACAACTAACCTGACGTCTTGCCGAAGATGTCGGCGGAAAACTTGACTTTTTATTCTTTACTTTACAAAACATGAATTCTCGTTGCAGTAACTTCGCTGTCTAATGTTTGAGATCCCGATATTGTTTGTAGAAGCCATATCCGGTGAGAAGCGATATCCGTGTAGATTCCAGGCGTTCCTTGCACAGCGCAGCCTCTTCCCCAGGAGACTATACCCGCCAGTACGAGCCTCTCATCGCCGTCCACACCATGGCAGTGCAGTGCCGATCCCGAATCGCCCTGTTTAGATGGACAAGAATAAGTTATCACGTCCAGGGCACGTGGAAGTGTAGGCGTTTGTGATTAATATGTGTTTCTGTGACATTAAACTCAATATCTACCCATGAAACAGGACCTCTAAAGTAATAGCACAGAACTGGGCACGGTCCTCGGTTTCGTACGCCCATACCCTGTCACTAGCAAAAATTGTGTTATTTTGTCTTCATTCTTTTGTTTCTTTTTGAAACTTATCCAATTATTTTTAAAGTTCTTCTTCCAGGAGAAGTGTTGTGGTATTCCGAGAGACTTTCGTCATCAAAATTCTCACGCGTTTCTTATTTTAACACTTTATACAAATCTTAATTAACTCAAAAATGAAACATTAACTGGGAATAAAATCTTCTTGGACGATTAATCGTGAGGACTGGGTTTATCATGAAGGATATTTTTATTACTTTTAGTTACTGTAAAACCTTCAGGTCGTGTATGGAAACAGCATATTAAGGACGATTACAGTGTAATGTCGGCTTACCGCGCATGCGTCAGCGTCGCCTCCTCCGGCACACACGATGTCTCGCTGCAGACTAACGTCTGGTCCCAGCGCCTGCGCGCAACGGCGTCCCTCTACAATGGGCACCGTTGCGCAGTGCAGAGTGTTAGGAAACACGTGCTTCTTCGGATTTAATGTCCCCAGTCCACACACCTCGCATTTACCTGGGCACATCCATAATAAGATGTCTGAACTCTTTGTCATAAAATTGTAATTACTGAGTGCTGTACGGAATAATAGTAATGAAACAGTCGCAAAAAAGACAACACTCTACATTGTATTAACTTTCAGTTTGGGAATAATTTGTTGTAGCCTTTATCCAATATTGTCTGTCAGGTTTCTATAAAAGAAACATTTCAGAAATTTATTCTGTCCCCACAATCAAAACCAGAGGACAGGTTTATCACCGCTCTAGCCATTAGGTGGTCAACTCAAGCGAGTTGAATTTCCCGTCATAGAAATTGAAGGTAATTATGTCTTTCCAACCCCTGTTTATACTTCTTATAGAAGGGTAGTTGTAATACCTTTGGGTTTATACCCTGCTGGTGGTAGAACAGCAAAAGTCCCGTGTATTTTCTCCAGTGTTCTCAGAAGAGCGAGGTCTACGTCAGGCATTCTTTTGCTGAAAAGGGAAAGTAGACAGATTGGGAACGACGTGATTAGATAAATGGCGAAAAATGTTTTTAAACATCAAAGTACGAAAGTGAAGAAATACATTGAGGAATAATGAAGGAAAAACAAACGAAATGAAGAAATACATTGAGGAATAATGAAGAAAAGACGAACGAAAGGAAATAGGAAAGATATGAGGTCAGCCATAAATATTTAAACTATGACATAACATTCTTGAAGGAAATGGACAACCAAACAAACAAAACACGTGTTGCACTATCAGGCGAACACTTAAAGGGAAAACTCGGAGAGATACAGAAATAAAGTTTTATCGAGTGATGGCTGTTCGTGCACTACTATATGGAAGTGAATGTTGGACAAACAGCGGAAATGGGATTTTTAAGGTCTGTGAAGGGATGCATAAGTTTGGACAAAATCAGGAATGAAGACATAAGAAAAGAATTAGTTTTATTTTCAAGTAATGACGGAATAAAAAGATATAAACAAGATTGGCTAGGACACGTAGAATGGATGGAAGAAGGACGAATATTGAAACAGGCTCTTTAGTATAGACCCAGAGGAAGACCACGCCAAAGGTGGATTTCATAGAAGCCGGAACAGACAATCGGCCTAATTCGTGAATTGGAGAAGAAGAAGAAGAAGAACTGAAAGAGAGCAGCACGAAAGAAGGAAGAACAGACAAAGTAAGGGACATATGGCGAAGGGGGAGTTCAAGGTGATCAGAGAATTTCGTGTTCCTTGAACAAGTTTTGTATGAAGGAACTTTGCACCACATGAAAATTATGATATAGTTTTCTCCAATTGACGGGTTTAATTGCGTGACGCTCTTACATAGTCCCAGCCACAAAATAACGGCGTTGAACTACAAGAATGCATTTCACTATTTACTTTAATTCAATTTTAATGCTTTTCAATTTCTTTGCGCAATGTACTTACTCTCGAGATGGGTATCTGACCAGCTCCTCCACGTGGTACCAGTCCACAGCCTCTATTTGCAGCTTTAAAGGAACCGGAAGTGACCTGAAATATCGCGTACGTACATGGTGTGAAGAATGAATACCAGTCGCGTCCCAGTATGAATTTGGGATTTACAATAATATTAAATTTAAATTCAGCACTAATTTCTTTAAAGATGCATATTTTATACACATAAAGAACATCAAGATTTACATTATAGGGATCGAAGTGATTTTTAACACATTCAAAACGGTCGGTGTAACTACACTTTTACTTAATCATTGTTTCTTGACTGGCCAGAAGTTCCCTGCTTGAATGAAATGCACGTTTTGGTCCCCGCGTTTGGGAAATTTGCCGCTGGGACCCAGCCTTGGTCATTCGCATTCAGTAAACTCTTAACTGACGTGAAAGAGATAATTCCTTTTGAGAAATCGCCCAGTTTTAAAAGAAATTTATATCCTCATAAAGAATCTGAAGTTTTATTACGTCGTTCACAAGATTCGCAACAGTAGTTTTCGGAAGCATAAGACCGACTTTATATAGGCCATACGTAATAAGTTAATCTCATTAAATTATTACCCCCTGTGTCAAAAATTCACTACGTAAACTTTTTGGGTGTTTATAAATGCAAAGAAATCAATGATTATTGGCATTTCATTTAAAAAGAGACCAGGTATTATATCATATTTTATAGCAAGACAGGTGAGTGCTGATGTGTATATTATTCATCTTCTTTGTCTTGAGAGGGTAATTTTTGTAAGGAGATCATAGTCATACTTCCATTCTTTAATGGGAGTAAGTATTAGATTACAGTGACATTTTATCGCATTCGTTACTAATTTGAGTGTGTTTTGCTGGGGTCGTTGTATTATGTATATTTCCCTGAAACAATGTACTTGTTCCTATTTCGACCTACCTACTCCCATCCGTCCACATCTGGGAACTCTGTCCTCCATGTCGCCATACAGCATAATGGTATTTACAACCCTCCATGGTCTTATTACTTTTGTTGTGCACACACATATCTCGTCTGACAACATGAAGCTACGAAAGTTTGGTGAATCTCGACGTCTGTCTCCTCCATGGTAGGTCGAGAGTGTGCCTACATTATTTTACATAATGGAAACGCTCTTTGGAAATGTACGGTAGAGTTTAATCGACTAACCTCCATGCCCATCGACTCAACTGTCAAGAAATCTAGTAATTTACCGCAGAGTTAACGCATCGGAATCATGTACTTTTACTTAAACTTTGTAAAAATAAAGTGTCTCTAGAAATAAAAAAAAAAATATTGCATTGGAGACTCATGATGTGGTCTAAAATATATGTGTTTATTACTACGGTCTTTACACAGCAAAAAAATATTTTCATGTGTTATTTGATGCATTACGACATGTTTCGGTCTGATGGGTCCATCTTCAGGACGGCCTTTATTCACACTGTTGTACCAAACACTCCGTTGTGTAAAATGCATATTTTATACTTTGTTACTTTTATTTAAGTTAAATGTTAAAACGATCAGTTAATATTAAGACTTGTATTGAGTATATGTGTTTGTATGGTCGTGGTGTAAATCCCTGTCGAGACAACTCGTTAATTAAAATCCATCGGAATTTCTGGTATGCACTGTATTTATTTTTGAGAATTTAATTACACTTGAACATCGTTATTTCGTAATACAACAGTTTCAGCTGGCGAACTTACCGTTGCCGTCTTGGGAATGTACTTGTTTTCTGGGTCGCTGTAGATAATGATAAGTTGCCATGTAGGTGTTACATTTTTTAGTTCAATGTTTTAATACGTATTATGTTGTTTTTTGTGTGAGTACGAGTACGTGGCAATAAAGACATACATTGAAACTTATTTTTGGCTATTATTTTGAAAAAGAAGCATTTGTGACCGCATGTTCATAGGAACATTATTTCTTATTTTTGATCCTGGAACACGCACACGAAGTTTGTAAACATACTAGTAAAAAATGAATATGCCAAAAGATGAAGTCGTCATAAAGACAGCAAAGATGTGGAATTTCTTGGAAGTCTTCATGGAGATTTGTTTATATAACATAGTATGCTGATTGACGATGTTTACATGGATACTAAGCTGACGCAACTTGCTGGGGCCAAATGAAAATAATTTTTTATGGAGATCTGTTTTTACTTCAAGCTTTATCAAGTCCTTCCACTTCTGTACCTTGGAATAGGGTCACGATGGCATCAATACAGGGCCTGTTCGCCATTCATGATCATCTTTCCATCTCAGTCTTCTGTATGTTAAGTTATAAATTCGGGCACCGCCGGGAATCGAACCCGAGACCCCAGGATTACAAGGCCAGCGTTCTAACCGCTAGACCACCGTGGTGGTAAAACTGTCATATAAAATTTTAATTTGCGTAAGATATGATCAGTAAATAAATAAATAAATAAACAAATAAATAAGTAAATAAATAAATAAACAAATAAATAAGTAAGTAAATAAATATATGTGTGTATGTGAAATCAGAAAATTACAATGCAATTGATGAGTAAGAACTGACAAAGCCAACGTAGAATTTTATATCTGTTGGCTCTGAGCAATCTTTAGCTTATTGGAGAACGTTAAATCAAGAGCTAAGAAGCTTCTTGCTGATAAAGACTTGGTGGGATCCATGTTATTCGTAGAATCATAAATTAAATTTGATGTTTAAGGAATAGTCAGACAAAGGTTTGCACTAAATACCTCAGTAATCCCTAAATTTTTCAGTAAACTAGTCAGCAATATGTGAATTAACTTTTAGAAGTTGCATTGTGAACATATTTTATAGATCATCTTCATGTTGCAATAGATTGGCCCCAGTTATATAACAACATATTTTATAGATCATCTTCATGTTACAATAGATTGGCCCCCAGTTATAAATTTTAGGCCTACAGATTAGTATTTAATTTCGAATACAGTCCCAGTTTTCGAAGTGATTGAGGAACGTTGCGGTAATATTCAGTTATTTGGCATGAAATGTGCACGTGAGACATTCCGTGGTTAAGGACTTCGCCTTATGAATAACGAGCCAAAACCTTTGATTAGGGAAACAGTTACAGCGTTATCTTATCATGTTCCTCGGTTTCTTGCCTATTAATTCCAATGAAGGTCACAGAAATTCACAGTTCCGTTGATACGTTACAGTGACGCAGGCGTGTATCTTGCTGTACTTCAGAAAGGAAAACTACATTACAATTTATTATGATCATTCTTCAGTGTTTTACTCTGCACGGAATGGTAAGTCACAATATTCGAATAATACAAGAAATCTGACAATATTTGTTATAGAAGGTAAGTCGGAAGGGCTTCACGAATAAGCACTGACATGCACAAAACCAGCTTTGAAAATATTTAGATTAAATTCACAACCAATATCTTTTAATGTGTTGTTTAGCGGCGTACATATGTTTTTATTTTAGTTTGCCAGGCATTTGCGAGGACTTCCTGGATGATACACCGGCTCACTGCTTGTGTTTACCTAGTTTTAACACAGGATAACATAAAAACTACACGTGAAAATATGTAGAATAAATCCACATTTGAAACCTATTAGTATAGGGCTATTCAAAAATATTGTCGGGGTTTTGTGAATTTTTGTGCGCCAATGCATTAAACATACGACTATTATCATTACACTGGTGGATAGAGAAACTCTCAAAGTTTTGTTCTGTACCGCCCGCTGATCGCCAGAGAAGATTTTATTGAGTTTTCCATCAACACTTTCTGCCTGAAGAGGTTAGCCAATAGGACGGCGGTTAAAATATATGTTTTAGGCTTGTCTATCGTGACGATGTGTGGTCTTTTAGCTGACTTACTGGAATAATAATTTTTCGTTTTGTACCGCAAGAAATCACAATCGCTAGACCTCGAGTAATAAGCTGACTTGGGGTACGATGACGCTCTTGTAGTCTAAACCAGTGGTATTCAACCTTTCTTGTTCGCGTACCCCCAGATATAATTTCTCTTCAACTTTGTACCCCCAAAGTTGTTGGTGTATAATTCAAGTTATACGTAGTATATAATCTACATCTAAAATAAATTAAATAAATTACATTCAAAATAATGTATTAAATCTGGCTCTGATTATTCAGCGTTTATCATAAAGTAATTTTTTTTTAAATTTCACGTACCCCCTAAGATGTCTTCGCGTATCCCCGGGGGTACGCGTACCCCAGGCTAAATATGACTGGTTTAGAGAACACAGCCATCCAGTTGCGATGCTGAACTTACCCTCTTGGAAAACAGTGCGCTGCCGTTAGAACCCATGTCACGTGAACTACAACCCCGCCACAGAAATGTCGAAACTGCCGTTCGTCCTTATACCACTTCTGTAAGGACACGTTAGCAGGATGCCTCCTATCTGTTGGCAGAGAACAAATATAAA